CACTCATTTTGTAATAGCACATCATTCTTTTTCAGTCTCTTCCAAAACTCCTGGTGACGGTAACCCCATACAGATTATGCAGTAGAGAAATCCCATCAAGACGTTAAGAAAAAGAGGTCAGGGCAAGAGAAAGTATTAGTAAAACAAACCTAAGGATAAGCAAGACAAAAATAACTTAGGGAAGAGAAACCGCCTGCCTTTGCCATCCTACCTGCTTCCTCTGCTTTCTCCAGCTGTTTCTGAGCTTCTTCCCTCCGCTCTGCTCGCTTGGCCAGCTCCCCTCCCTTCATGGTAGGGGGTTTGCCGTCAAATACATACACCGGCTTGATGCCATTGTCAACCATACGGATTGTACGGTAGAAGAATCCCATCAAGTGACTGAAATAACAGAGGAGATGAGTCCTGAATTAATACAATTTTTGGTCAATGATGTTCTCATTTTATTAAGATACATTTGGTAAAGTTATAATACTTGAATATAAAACTAAATTTATGAATGTTCTGCTCGTAGAATGCCTGACCTGTACTGTGAACAATTCATTTCATTGATATCTTTGAATAACTCTACGTACACCCAAACTCAAAAAACATTGGAACAATACAATTATATGCATGAGAAATTGAGAATATTTCTGGGGATACAGACCAGTCACAGCTATAGTACATTTACAATGTTTTTTAAGGAGCCCTTATGATCAGCCCTTTTTTATCCTATCCAAAAAAATAAGTAAATAATAATAATAATAATAAAAATCTGCCTCATACCTGGTAGTCTCGCCATCAGCTGATGTGAGCTGGTTACCCTCCTGTCGTACAGCCACCAAGAATTGGTACAGACTCATGGAAGCGTCCACAGCCACCTTACGGCCTGGAATCATAGGTAACTATATCAAATTGCTAATAAGACAATTTAATGTAATTAAAGAGAAGATAATACATGCATAAAAAACATAACAAAACATAAAATAAAGGATATATTGTTAAAACATTACAATCTAAAGTTTCTTAGAAATAGATTGTGGATATGAAAGTTCGAGTCTTTACATTACTTGTTGGAAATCTGTTTATATGAAAACATCTTAGCAAGCCCAAAACTTAGTGATATCATCAGAACAAAATGTAATGGCTAAAACTTAAAGGGAATATGCACTGGTAAATATAGCAAATATTGACAAATTTTGCTTAGTTGACTAATTACTAGAAAATCAAGTATTTCTTAATTTATTTTCAGGTTCTTTATGATTAATAAAGATGGAACTTGTGAAGTCGGCACAGCGACTCCAATTGCATTTGATTCCTGGAAAAAAGTTATGTCCCACATGCCGCAAAACACTATCAGCCATTGAGGCAAGTCGGAATGATAGCACAGAGGAAGACTCCAGTGACGAAATGCTATTTGTGGAAGAATCTGTTTCGCGTGATGAAGATAGGGATCAGTTGCAGGATTTGTTTTCCTCCATTGGAGTGTCCCCAATAAAGGTACATGGGAAGCCGGAAACAGCCAGAATTAGCAGCAGCAAAAGGAAGATCGGTAGTGTTGTAGAAACCATTACAAAGAAGGTTGCGAGTTCGATCAATGTTCCCGTTGAACAACTTAAATCCTCCCCGGATGCAAAAAGCGACAAAGCTCTTTCAGAAAAAGCAAGATGTTTTGATGAAATGATGAGTCGTCTTCGTGAAAAGATCTTTTCCTTGACATCATCGAGGGCAAAACTTCAAATCTTGACCTTGTGTCCATCAAACTGGACAGTCAAACAGTGTGCTGAATATTTTAAAGTTTCAGAGTATCTTGTACATACTGCTCGAAAACTTGCAAATGAAAAAGGCATTCTGTCACTTCTAGACCCCAAAATGGGTAGAGGGCTCTCCCAAGTTACTAGAGATTTGGTACTCCAATTTTACCATAACGAAGAGCACACCAGGGAAATGCCAGGTCAAAAAGATTTTGTAAGCATTGGTCGCAATATACATAAACAAAAGCGACTTATTCTTTGTAACTTAAAGGAACTATTTAGCTCTTTCAGGGAAAAGTTCCCAGAAGTAAAGATAGGGTTTTCGAAATGTTGTTCTCTGAGACCCAAGTGGTGCATTTTGCCAGGTGCTGCTGGAACACATTCAGTATGTGTTTGTATCATACATCAAAATGCCAAGCTACTTCTTTCTCCTATTGGGGCTAATTACAAAGAATTAACTAAGTTTCTGGTTTGTGACATTGATAACAAAGAGTGCATGGTACAACGTTGTCCAAATTGTCCAAAGTCAACAGAAATTTTCCAGCACAAGTTGTACGAAAGAAAGATGTTTCAAACATAGCTAAACTTTTTACTACTTTTCAGAATTAAATTTTCAGTTTATGTTTTGAAACATTTTCCATGCCAGCACCAAGATAGATCATAATTTGTCCTTTACATGACATCACCAGTTGTACTCTGCACTGTCATCTTTAAAAGCACATTAAAACATACAATTATAACATTGCACATGTGAATTGAAAATATAATTTTGGGAAAATGTTGCGTGCATGCAGGCATTTGATATGAAAAATGGTCAGATTTTCCAACCCAATTTGAGTAGGAAGGAGTTAAGACCCCAAGCTACCTTTGGTCTACTACATGATTGTTCTATGTAGATTTTGGAAACATAATAAAAAAGTTTGTAAAAGGTATGCCTCTTGGGGAAAAAATCAATTTTTGACCACCACCAAAATATTTTGCCAGAAACCTACATCAGTTTATTGTAAGGTGGCATTGTCCTGGTGCTAGATATGACTTTCTAAGTGTTATTTTTGAATTCTACATGCCTGAAAATACTTTAGTGCTTGTTTTCCTCCATGTATCTCTTTCCAGTGAGGTTTAAAATAACTTTAACTTGTGCGTCAAAGATGTCATCGCTAACCCTAAGCTTTTTGGGGGTATTTTCAAAAAATGAAATGGTCCATAAAACCCAAACTAGATGGAATTTCTCAAAAATTTTTGACATTCTTCTCTAGCTCATAGATCTTTATCAGTAAACCAAATTTGAGGCTATTCTAAGGGGTAGGGTTAAAATTTTCTAAAATTTCTGATGATTTGGTATGGAATGACCCATAATTGAATTTTTTTTCTTCCTACATATCAATTTGTCAAAATGAGTTCTATATTAGGAAAAGCAAGTTTAATCCTCTCTTGCAGTCTTTTATTCTCATCATTTTAAAAAGATATATTCTTGAGCCTATAACCACATTCACCAGAGACAAGTTGTATGCAAAGCTGATGTCAGAAAAACTTGGTACAGAAAATATATGCTGAAAAGAAGAGCTTGTAAACCCCACTGATGATTTACTTTCAAACAAGGAAACCAGCCCATGTTCTGTCTTGCATGAATATAAGTAGTTAAGGCTTAGATTACTTTAGCCTAAAAGTTTCTAGGTTCATTTTTGAAAAAAAATCTGGACTATAATGAAAGAGATCTTCATACAAATCTCATAGTTTTTTTTGTTTTGTTTTTAGCTGGTAAGTGTTGCTTACTCAGCCAGTTAAGTGCTAGTAAAATGCTTTTTCCATAATTTGAACTGTTGTAATCATAGACTAAATGGTAATTACAAACTATTATTACCATTTGTTAGTTTTATGTTACATGTAAGGCATTTCTGCATTTTCAGTAATAATTTAGCACATAAAAAATGCTTGGAACTGCAAAATGTTTCTTGATTAGTGTTTATGGATGGACACACTAAGCCTAAGTCTAGTTAGTGCTCTTGAGTTTCAGCTTTATCTTGCAGCCTGTTTGCCACCCAACAATGCCAGGGGTTGTTGGGGGGCATAACTAACTATTAACCCTCCCTTTGAGCAGTGCCTGAAGGAACACCTAGTCAATTGTTGAATTTTATAACATGGAGTTGGGGAGTGCGTCCATACTGTAAAGAATTACCTTTTTATTTGTGGTAACATCCCACCATGCAAATATAGAGTTTTCCACTAATGAAAAGTCTGTGGAGTAAGGAAAGGAATAAGTGAGTTACAATGAAAAATATTCTGACAAAACAGTACAGCTTCCAGAATATATCTTGCAGTGCCTTCACCTTTTTAAAGTCCAATATGGGAATGATGAAAAAAAAAGATCTAAAGAAAGTATATGCATAGGTATGTCAAGTCACAGACAGAGTAGGAGAAGAACCTTGTAACAAGGAGTTCAAGATAATCAGCCTTATGTAAAGGTAGTTTAGTTGTTTTGGTTTTAATCTTTACAGTATGGATGCACTAAGCTTGGGCAAATTGAAAATTATATTCTTGTGGAAGACAATATGTTGCAGTCGTCAACACAAGAAACAATCAACAGACATGAATCGTAATGCCATAATTAAAGGAAAAAAGATTGTGAAAAGCGCCACTCGCAGCCCAAGGCCTCTCCATTCCCCTGAGATTCGGCTTTATTTTTCCGCGCATACCGATGTCAATGCAATGTTTGTCAGGGGGTGCTGGAAGCAGAGCCCCCATCAGCCCTCCCCTCAGGCAGCTGGGGACTTAGTCTCTGGTGAATGCATCTGTACAGTAAAGAATTATAGTTCTTTTGTTCAAAATAATTCTGTACTATGCTTGTTTACCATTGCACTGGTAATTACACCTCAATTTTGCATCTAATTTTTTTTTTTTTTTTTTTTTTAATAATGCTTGAAGTACAGAACAATATAAAATTCATATAGGCCTACATAATAATAAAGGCCCAGAATGCATATTGGGCCACAAAAAGGTCACGGCAACTGACAGCGAAGATAGTCCTAGATTCTGACCATTCAAATTTGACACCTCTAGCAGCCATTCCGTCGACAAACTGCCGTTCTTTGCAAAACCTTGATACAGCCCATCTATAGGGTTAAGTAGCCAGTGGGTGATACACAGCTGCTGTTAGTAATACTCGGTGCATAATTTGTTATCATCTGCTTCCCACGGCTGCATGATTTGTTATGCAGTTAAATGTAACTAGTAGACTATCAGCATTTGTTAATAAAATGTAGAATAACC